GGTTTCCCCCCCCCCCCCCCGGGCAATAGCAGAGAGGCACAGGAAAGCAATAGGGTACGCAGGAATGGCTGGCTGCCTTCGATCTCTCCAGCCTGCACGCTGGCTGGGGAGACTGAGGACACAGGCAAACGTGCCTGCTTTGCTTCCCGCACTCATCTAGCTGCCCGCAGCCGCAGAGCGGCTGGAAAGGTTTAAGAAGGGAAGCAGCATGTTTTTACAATGCCTTTCTTTCCTTCCCTGATCTCGGGGAAGGAAACAAAGGGATTTAAACATGCCCCCCCACCGCCGCTTCCCTGAGCACCTCGTCTGCAATAGCAGAGAGGCTCAGGGAAGCAATGGGGCATGCAGGAACAGCTGGCTGCGCGCAGTGCAACTGAGTAGAGAGGCAAGGGCCCACCCCGCCCCCAGCAGCCCAAAACCTTATGGTCCCCGAACCCCGATACTTACCGTCACACTGGGCTGGGGGGGGGGCTTCAGGAACCGCTGCAGTGAGGTCAGGCGGTGAGGTGCCTCAGAGAGAGACCGCCGGCCACGCCACGAGGAAAGCACCAGATGTCCACGCCCACCACGAGACCTCGCACTGGTGCACACTAGAGGGAACCAGAAACTGACGCTCTAGCCCTTGTCTTTATGGTTTTCAGAGCCATAGAGACTAGGAGGACTTAAATCCTAGAGCGTCACTTTCCGGCCGCCACCCCCACCCCCGGGCCCAATTTTTAGAAAGCGGGGAAGGGATATTGAAAGCGGGGCTTGCCAAGCCCAGCAGGGGCTTGGCAAGTCTATCTGACAAAGTTCAGACAAAAGAGCTTTGGCTCTCATCGTCCTATGCCCTGAACACCTGGCTGGTCCCTGAACTCAAATACAGCCGTTCTACTGCAGAACAACACAGTTACCCTCAGAAACGATCTTCCATGGGGAAAGTATTTGTTTCTTCTGAGCTAAATATGTCAACCTCTGTGACTTAATCGATATTTAGGATTGGCCGCTTTCTAGATGTACAGTATTTTGGGGGGGGTTAGCTACCAAGAAACTTCAGCATGCTCAGACCTTGAATGTTTCCTGCAGCCAGCCAACAGGTAGCTCAGGGTGGCATTGAGCAAAGAGAACTTGCAGACCAGTGTAGTGTTGGGGTTAGAGTGCCGGGCCAGGATCCGGGAACAGAGAACCACCATCATGGGGCAGGGATCATGTGTTCATGTGTCCATGTGTCACTCCTGCACATTCTGCTGCCATCCTGACAGCTCTTAACTCTGTGTGCTGCTGTCCTAAAACCCACCATGTATCCATCATGGTGCCTTTTGCTTGGCAGCTGCCCAGGAACTTCCTTTTGAAATGTCTCAGGATTGAACCCACCAGTCACAAACCTGCCCTGTGGTACTGATTTCTTTGTCTGCTCTGGCCTTTTCTCCTCCTCCTTGTTTTAGGCGAGCGACCAGCTTGGAGCTACCCATGGCTATGCGCTTTCGGCACTTGAAGAAAACCTCCAAGGAAGCTGTAGGTGTCTACAGGTAAGGTCTCAGATCATTGGCTCCTTGCTAGAGTCGACAGCCCTGGTCCTCCTCTGGAAGAGGGCAGTTTCTTCTCATTTCCCGTGAGTGCTGGCCATGCTCACTTTTGACCCGCCTCCTTATTTCTCATCCTTTTAAGGTAACCCATTTCCACAGGGGTAGCCGCTGACTTAGTCTGTTGCAGAAGCAAAATCAAACCAAAGTCTCAGCAGCATCACAGAGACTAACAGTCTATTTCAGAATTAAATTCTGATTAGTCTTTTTTAAGGTGTTACCGAACTTGTCTGTGTCCTGTTGTTGTCCCTTCAGAAGAACTTGTTGGCCAGCTGAACTTGTCTGTGTCCTGTTGTCCCTTCAGAAGAACTTGTTGGCCACTATGTGAGGCAGGATGCTGGACTAGATGGACCACTGGTCTGATCCAGCCGGCCTCTTCTTACATTCTTGTTTCCCTTCCATTTCTGCTCTTTGATATGCAATCACCTTCCTCTCCCTCCACCCATTCCAGGTCAGCCATCCACGGCCGGGGTCTGTTCTGCAAGCGAAACATCGACGCCGGCGAGATGGTGATAGAGTACTCGGGCATAGTCATCCGATCTGTGCTGACAGACAAGCGGGAGAAGTACTATGACAGCAAGGTACAGGCAGGCTGGACAGGAAACATATTGATTTTACATTGGTCCTGATAAGGCAATTTACTTGTGCTCTTAGGACGTAAACTGGAAGGTACACATTGGTACTGTTACTATCTCCAATATATGCAATTGCTTCTGGCACAAGGCCAGATACATTTGTGGCCCCGCAAACAAAAAATTTTTTGTGTAATTCAATTCCAGGTTGGAACATTCCATTTTTGGTCCTATATCAATTGCTTACTGCCTAACAAGTGTAACGGGCTTTGTTGCATGTTGTATTCTTTACTATTTTACCTCTGAAGAAGGCTCTTGTGGGCCAAAACACGTCAGGTCATATGTGGTTCTTTTTTTGTGCATTTGTCACTTTGATTATTCTATTTTACGAGGCTTTATTTGGGGCCCTACAAGGTTTTTATATGCTTTTGAAATAAACATGTGTACTTTTGTCTATACCTGTTGATGTTTTTAACTTTTGGCCCTTTACTAGTTTTCTAAACTTCCTTTGGGCGTTTTTGAATGGGAAAAGAGACAAACCCGGAGATGGGAGGGGACGGGGTTTGCTGAAACAGAGGAAGGGGGCAGGGCCGATGGGCAGGGTCCCGGAATCTGAAACCCTTCCTCTCTCGCCAGGGCATCGGGTGTTACATGTTCCGCATCGACGACTTCGACGTGGTGGACGCCACGATGCACGGCAACGCCGCCCGCTTCATCAACCACTCCTGCGAGCCCAACTGCTACTCGCGCGTCATCCACGTGGAGGGCCAGAAGCACATTGTCATCTTCGCCCTGCGGCGCATCTTCCGCGGGGAGGAGCTCACCTACGACTACAAGTTCCCCATTGAGGACGCCGGCAGCAAGCTGCCTTGCAACTGTGGGGCCAAGCGCTGCCGCCGCTTTCTCAACTGAGGACTCCTCTCCCGCCTACAGGCCTTCCCCAGGAGCAGCCAGGAAGGGTGGGGGGCATGCCCAAGGGAGAGGAGAGGAGGAGGGGGACCCAACCCTGCCGTGCCGTTCCAAGGGAGCAGCCTCCGCTGCCGCTGCTGCTGCAGCGCTCACTCATCCCTTTCTTTCCTCAAGGCACGGAGACACTTCATCTCCAAGAGCATCAGTGATGCGCGTTTCGTGTCAGAACAGGAGGTCGTTGCCAACGGCCCCGTCGCTTGAGTCTGTGGCTTGAAATTATGGCAGGCAGAGATATGGGGCAAGTCTCGAAGGGCGTCCATCTGACCCCTTAATTTGCGCCCATCTGCTTCATAAATCCTGATGATGATGATGATTATTGTTATTTTTCCCTTGTGGGGTGAGAACAGCATTTTCTTTAATTTTGTACTTTTAAATTTTGTGAATTCCCCCTCCCCCCTTGCTTAGATTCTCTGTCTAAAAGAAAAAACAAACATCAAACCCAGGAGGATGTAAATATTTGTACAAATTTCTAAACCTGTTTATTTTCTATGCACTTTTTTATTTAAGATGCTCAGTCAACTCAGCCGGGAAAGGGTTGGATTCTTGTTGGTATAATTTTAAATAAAACGCAATTTTGACACGAGTCTGAGATCCGTTGTGGTAATTTAAGGCTGAAGAAGAGCACGTGTGTATCTCCACACACGACAGGAGAAAAAGAAGAAACTCCTTAACCAGAAAAATAGTGGGCTTCCCCCCCCCTCCCCAGGAATTTAAGGTCATGTGAACTGATTTCAAAATACATGGGGACCAGATGGCTTGCTTGTCTTTGAGCGTGCATATAAATACCCAAAAAGACAGAGCCAGGTGGGTAGCCATGTTGGTCTGAAGCAGCAGAACTAAGTTTGAGTCCAGTGGCATCTTTAAGGCCAACAAAGTTTAATTCTGGGTATAAGTTTTCATGTGCAGGCACAATGTATCTGAAGAAGTGTGCAAGCACACGAAAGCTTATACTCAGAATTAAAGTTTGTTGGTCCTAAACATGCCACTGGACTCAAAACTTACTCAAAAAGACAGTATAGTGTGCCTCTGCGTTGAGGGGCCATGGCTCAGTGGTAGAACATGTAAGTCCCAGGTTCAGGTTCAATCCCCAGCATCTTCCAGCTAAAAGGATGGAGTAGAAGGTGATGTGAAAGACCTCTACCTGCTACCGATTCAGAGTAGATGATACCGACCTTGATGGGCTGACAGTCTGATCCAGTATGAGGAAGCTTTATGTGTGCTCATGAATTTTAGCTTATCTGCTGCTTTTGACCACAGTCTTCATGGTGACCAGCAACATCAGTAATACCAGATCTCCATTAAAAGGAAAACCATACTCGGGTAATCATGCTGTCTGATCCTGTCAGTTGTACCTCCTTGAAGGCATGTGATTTTTTAATCAGTGGTAGATTTTAATGTTCTGCCCGTTCCTGACTGTAGAAAGGAGTAACCTGCTCTGTTCTCAAAAAAGGAAATCAGATATCTCCTGTCCTAAGGCTACGCTGCTGATTCTCTTTCCAATGGAGCTGTATTGTCTTGCTGAATTGAAGTCACGAAACATACTACTTGTACTGCATTCATTTACATGTTTTTAGGATATTCGGTTTAGTTTTATTTACTTCATTTATACCCTGCTGTTCTTCCCTGTGGTGACCCAAAGTAGCTTATGTTGTTTTTGTTGGAAATGTGTGTGTTGCAAGGTCGCATTGCAAACTCTGAATATTTAACTATTTTACCAATTCCTCTCCTATCCTCACAACCCTGTGCAGTAGGTTAGGCTGAGAGTGCAGGAGTGGCCCAGGGTCACCCAGCAAGCTCCCCTGGCAGAGTGGGGATTCAAACATGTACCTCCCAGAATTCCCAGCTGGACACTCTTAACCACTGCAGTGTGGTGATTCCCAATCCCAACCTTATTGGTATGTGGACCCACAAGTCCAAGTTTACTTTATATGGTGACCCATCCAGAACTGCCCCAAGGTTTTTTAGTGCCCTAGGCAAACTATGACCGTGTCATCTGTCTACTCCAACATTCCATTTTCTATAGTGGCCAACCAGATGAAGAAGAGGAGGAGTTTGGATTTATACCCCGCCCTTCACTATCTAAAGGAGTCTCAGAGCGGCTTACAATCTCCTTTCCCTTCCCCTCCTCACAACAGACACCCTGTGAGGTAGGTGGGGCTGAGAGAGCTCTGAGAGAACTGCTCCTGAGTGAACAGCTCTGAAAATCACTCACCCAAAGAGTGATTAACACATGGAATTCACTGCCACAGGAGGTGGTGGCAGCTACAAGCACGGACGGCTTCAAGAGGGAATTAGATAAACATATAGACCAGAGGTTCATCAGTGGCTATTAGCCACAAGGTATAGACAGGAACTCTCAGTCTGGGGCAGGTGATGCACTGTATTCTTGGTGCTTGGGGGGGGGGGCAACAGTGGGAGGGCTTCTAGTGTCCTGGCCCCACTGGTGGATCTCCTGATGGAACCTGATATTTTTGGCCACTGTGTGACAGAGTGTTGGACTAGATGGGCCATTGGCCTGATCCAACATTGGTTTCTCTTATGTTCTTATGAAAGGACTTGTGACTGACCTAAGGTCACACCAGCAGCTGCATGCGGAGGAGTGGGGAATCTAACCCGGTTCTTCCGGATTAGAGTCCGTGCTCCTAACCACTACACCAATCTGGCTCTTGAGTAACCAGCAACCATCACAAAAAGGGTGCAACTGGCCCCCACTGTGAGCCTCAAGCAAGTGGGAGTTCATCTTCGGGCAAGAGAGCCTGTGACCCACTTTCAGAGGCATCATCACAACCCACTTTTGGTTCCTGACCCACAGTTTGAAGAACTCTGCATTGCACCACCATGGCTCTTTTACTCTCCTCAAAGTGTAGGTTCCTAAGCACCTAAGTCCTCAGCCAGATTCCTTCAGTTAGCTACAGCTAGAAAAAGACCCTTGCTATAAACAAAAATTGTGTGATAAGCAGGAAAGCACAACATATTTGCTGTTTACGGAATGTTCTGCAAAGCTTAAGCAAAATCACAGCAATGCTTTCAATGCATCCAAAACTCTAAAATAAAATACGGGGGAACGGACGACTTACTGTTTATGGAAGTGATGGGATTTTAGGAATGGGATATTTCTGAGTAAACCTGTATAGGACAAGGCTTGAGGACAAGGATAGCCCAACTGCCAGCTGGCACGTTTGAGTTTGCTGCTGGATCGAGAACCAAGGCAGTACCTGATTCTCCCCTGCTCTGCTGGACTCTACAGTACACGCATACCTTTGGACAAACTCTTCATTCACTTCTTTGACGCCTCGCCAACACGGCAAGCTAGCTGCAGCTCTAGTTGGATGGGCGGGGGGTGGGGGGGGTGGCCGTTCTTAGTGCGTTTTTGGTTTGTTGTGATTTTAACTCGAATTTCAGTTAATAATTTTGAAACAGGAGCACTGGTTCCCAGAGGGTGAAGAAAATGCACTTTGTACATGCTCGGAGGTACTCCCTTCTGTTCCTGGCATTGCAACTAACCTGCAATAAAACTTAGCACTCTAGGAGCCTAAGCATTTCCTGAAAGTGTTCTGCAGGGTTCGGTTGTGCAATGAAAGGAATCCCAAAGGTTTCACTATAATTCCGTTCATTTGAAGCGGCAGATTTTGGTTTCCTTTTTAAGTTCGATTCAGCAACGCCGCCTTCCTAGTTAACTCTCAGGGAGAGAGCCGTCAGCCCTGACTGCTGCTCCCACCATGCAACGCGGCGCGGGACATTAGGCGCGCATCTCAAAAAAAACCACAGCACCCGGCATGCCTCTGTCCGAGAGGAATTCCCGGCATGCTTTGAGAAGGGGTCCCGCCCCTCCCTGCGGCACCACGCTTCCCAGCATCCCTTGGGAAAGGGATTGACTACGAATCCCAGACTCCTTTGCGGTTTTGGTCTCTGTTTGAGGAAGTAGTAGTAGGCTAGAGGGGTGAGTTTTTGTGGGTACAACGACGCCTAGAGCGTCTTCTCTTTTTTGGTTGGGGTGAAAGGGAGGGGGCAGAGAACAGAGATTTGGAAAGGGCTGAGAATGGCCGCGAGCTGAGTTGGGGGGCACGGGAGGGTCTTCTTCATCGGCGTTTTGCCCCTCCCCAGTATTCATATTTCCTTCCTCTTTTCCAGCCTCAGCTTCTCTCTTTTGGCTGCCCCAGTTCGGGGGCGGGGGAGGCTAAGGCAGCAGGAGCGCCGCAACCATGAACCTGGAGCGAGTGTCCAACGAGGAGAAACTCAACCTCTGTAGGAAATACTACTTAGGTGAGTGCTAATTAAAGCCTCAGAAGTGGCAACCCGCAGTAATTAAAACCGCACGCACCACTTTCAAAAACTGCATGTTTGATCTGAATTAAAGCCAGCTGAGCTCGGTATGTGCTTCCTGGTAGGTAGGTACGTGTGCATAGGACTGGAGCCTGATCCGAGGGAAAAGCGAGTCAGAGCTTCTTGATGTCTTTGTAGTTCGTACTATGGGTTTCCATTTGTCAGCATTAGAGGCGCAGCAGTTCTGGCCGCTGTGATGGCAGCATGCTTACCTTGAGCTGTTTTGTTATTTTATTTATTTAAAATGTTTTTATGATGCTTGTCAACCCAGTGTAGAGTCCTCAAGATGGCAAATGATCAAAACAATAAAACATTCTGGAACACCAGAAAAGACAAGAGAAGTCTTCACTTGCTGGCAGAAGGGAATTCAGTAATTCTGGTGTCCAGATCACAAAAGCCGTTTCTTGGATTGCCACCCATCTAACCTCAGAAGGCAAGGGCACCTAAGGAAGGACTCCTGAAAATGATTGGTTGGTTGGGTTCATCTGGGAGTAAGTCAAGTATGCTGGCACCAAACCATATAGAGCTCCAGAAATTAATATCAGCACCTTTAATTGCACCCAGAAGTTAACTGGGAGCAATTGTAGTTGGAACAAGACTAGAGTGATACAGCCCCTGCAATCCACTCCAGTCTGGCTGCAGCATTCTGTACCAAGTGAAGCTTATTCTTAACCATCATAGGAATAGACAGGTTCCTGTTAGTTCTGAGAGACTCTGTCTGACCACATTCATTGTTGAGTTCTTCTCTGGTCTGATCCTGACTCTATCATCAGTATGTCCAAGGTACCATAGACTTGCCTCTGTTCCTTTTGTGAAATGTTGACGTACTCATAAACTGGGAACAGATTACTCTGTGGCTCAAGCCATTATTCAGTCATCTTTCCATTCAGTTAGACAAATTCAGTTGGAGTCAAGTGGGAGAAAGAGATCACAACTAGGGATGGAATCTATAATAGCAACTGCAGTACTTCGAAAGTTGGGTATCCTTGGAGAGTGTACATCTAAGGGAGACACAGGCATCTTGGAGAAGTGGAAAGAAGCCATGACTGCAGGCATCTGCAGAGAAAGGATGGGTTTGGAAGATAAATGTATCTTGTAGTTCTTGGTATATAGTACTTAGGCATAGCTTATTGTATTGTCTCCATACTTATGACACAGTATAACCTCTGTCAAAAACTGGGGACACAGTAGTAGAAATTCCATCTCTTTGTTTTTCCAAAGAAAGAGGTAGTAAAATGCATCCAGGCCTTCAGACTACAATCTAGCATTTATTTTGGGGCAAGGCAAGACCAATTTGTATTGGAGGGCAGGCTGGAAATTTTACCTTATCCTTGTTGCACGGTGGAACACAGAAATGTACATTTGGGAAGTGGAACATGCTGGTGTGGGGGTGTGTATGTGTGAAAATTCATTTCCTAAAATTTGCTACTCAGGCCAGCTTGCAGGGGGCTTGTGAACTTTTGTTGCAATAAAAACCTGTGAGTGTTTGTGTAAATGTTTGTGGCATTACTTTTCTACTTTTTATTCCCTGGTGACCAGCAATTGATTTCTTTACTCCCATCGTTCCAGGCGGCTTTGCTCTGCTTCCTTTCCTGTGGCTGGTGAACGTCTTCTGGTTTTTCCGAGAAGCCTTCCTGGCACCAGCATACACCGAGCAGCTGCAGATCAAACGCTGTGAGTTATGTCTTAGTATGTCCACATGGTTTGGGGGTTTTTTGGCCATCAAGTTGCAACTGACTTATGGTGACCCAGTAGGGTTTTCAAGGGAAGGGATGTTCAGAGGCGGTCTGCGTAGCAACTAGGGCTGCCAAGTGGGGCCGGGGGGCGGGGAAACCCCCGCTTTGGAGGACCGATTTCCGCCGCAGCGATCTGGGCCACGCCCCCAACGTGAGCAACGTAGCACGTCACTTCTGTGACGTGCTGGTGGCGCGCACGCGCCGACAAGGACCTCCCGAAGCCCGGCGAGGAGCTTCCGGAGCCCAGCGAGGCTCCCCCTCCGGGCAAGGTAAGACCACTTGGCAACCCTAGTAGCAACCCTAGACCTTCTTGGTGGGTCTCCCATCCAATCCTGCTTAGCTTTTGAGAGTGGATGAGATCAGGCTAGCCTGGGTTTTCCATGGCAGGGCACAGAGGAACAGGTGGTTTGCCATTGCCTGCCTTTGCCTTGTGACCTTGGACTTCCTTGGTGGTCTCCCATCCAAACACTGGCCAGGGCTGACCCTCCTTAACCTCCGAGATCAGACTAGCCTGGGTCATCCAGGACAAGGGCGTGCAGGTGGTGGTGGGGAAATGATGGGACTGGCAAGCAACAGGATGTTTAAGAACAAGAGGGAGGCTCTGCTCAGTCAAATCAAAGGTCTCTATACTGCAGCACTTCTGGGAAGCCCACAAGTGGCACATGAAGGTACCAGCTGGGGGGCGAGACAGCTTTTGCTTAGGCACCCCCTTTGTTCTCCCCCCCCCCTTCCCCCAATATGGTATTCAGTAAGCATACTGTCTCTGAGCCCGGAGGTTCTTAATTAGTTATCATATGGCAGTGGGTGCAGTAGAGTCAGGAGATCCTAAGATTGTCTGGCAGCCAGAAGTTCTAGCTCTTTTTGCGTTATGCACCACTAGGAGGTGAGCTAGCCTTGTTTTTTGGGGCCGAGAGAGCTCTGAGAGCTGTGACTGGCCCAAGGTCACCCTGCTGGCTTCATGTGGAGGAGGAGTGGGGAATCGAACCCTGTCCTTCAGATTAGAGTCCACTGCTCTTAACCACTACACCATGCTGGCTCTCCTCTGGAGGTTCTGTTTTGCTGACATAGCTCATAGGTGTCAGTACAGTTCTTTCCCCCCATGAGTTTATCAAACTTCTTTTAAAGCTATCCAAGCTTGTAGCTGCTGCCACATCAATCCTAGCGCATGTGTTATTGGATGTCCCATTTTTTGTGATTGTACTGGCTCACTCTGTAATCTGCCTTGACTCCCTATGAGGAAGGCAGACTGTAAGCATAAATAAACAAAAGGCTTTGCGAGGATTGCTGGTTTGGACAGTGCATGATTGGGTTGGCTGTGTACCCTAGATGAGCTTGGCTGCCTTCCCCTGGTATGTCTGGGAGAGAAAGGGGGACTTGACATCAACATAGCAGAGAGCCAGTGTGGTGTCGTGGTTAAGAGCGGAAGACTCCAGTCTGGAGACCAGGGTTTGATTCCCTACTCCTCCTCCACATGAGGCCTGCTGGGTGTCCCTGGGCCAGTCACAGTTTTCTCAGAACTCTCAGCCCCACCTGCCTCACAAGGTGCCTGTTGTGGGGAGAGGAAGGGAAGGCGATTGTAAGCCGCTCTGAGACACATGAGGCCTGCTGGGTGAAGAAGAAGAGATTGGATTTATACCCTGCCCTTCACTTGGAGTCTCAGAGCGGCTGACAAACTCCTTTCCCTTCCCCTCCCCACAACAGACACCCTGTGAGGTGGGTGGGGCTGAGAGAACTCAAACTGCTCTTTTTCGAGGACAGCTGTGCCAGAGCTTGTGACTGACCCAAGGTCACATCAACAGGTGCAAGTGGAGGAGTGGGGAATCAAACCCGGTTCTCCCAGATTAGAGTCCGCGCACTTAACCACTACACCAAACTGAGGGGTGACCCTCAGCCAGTCACAGAGCTCTCAGCCCCATCTACCTCACAAGATGCCTGTTGTGGGGAGGGGATGGGAAGGTGATTGTAAGCCGCTTTGAGACTCCTTAGGGTAGAGAAAAGCAGAGTATAACAACCAACCGTTCTTCCTCTTCTTCTTGGCGTCGCCTCGACTTGTTCCTTTCCCCAGATGTCCAGCGTTCGGCTGTGGGCCTCCTCTTTTGGGTGATTGTGCTCACCACGTGGATCAGCATCTACCAGACGCACCGGGCGCGGTGGGGCGAGATGGGCGACTACCTCTCCTTCACCATCCCCCTTGGTACCCCCTGAGGAGTCTCTTCTCTTGCTGATCGCCAGCGGGAACCTTCTAACTCTTTTTCCAATGGACTTCCTGGGCGGCCGGGCAGCAGTCATCCTGACTTCCCCCTTCTACGGAACTAGCCCGGCATCGTCTTGTGGCAAACTGGGGAGGGGCTGCCTCTCAGCATTCCCCGGGATCCTCCATCCGGCGTACCCCACTACAGGCTATTGGCAGAAGCGGTCAATAAATATGGGATTCTCCACCTCCTGTTTGCTTACGGTGTGGTGCTTTGGGGAGAAAGGAGGTGTCAAGGCTGTACCCGGGTTTGGTCCCAGCAACTCCTCCAGCAACACATGCTCACACATTACAGCAAAATAGATTTTTATTGGGGGGGAAATTCAAGAAAAAGGTTTAAAAAGAAGACATGTAGTTCAACGGCAGTAAAAATGCACAGAAAAAACAAGAAAGCTAACTAGCTGTCTCTTAACGGGAATCCTAACACAGCGCAGTTGGTTCTGGAAGCAAAGAGCCCTTGAGCATAATACAGGTGTCTTCTTGGTGGCATGGAACAGAAATGGTAACTAAGAGGTAACACTTCTTCACACTGGCTATATTTATAGAAGGCTGAAGGCCATGGCCGCCTGACTTCCTCAGCCAATCACAGGACAGTGTCCATGGAACCTTCCAGGTGACAGAGCCAGTTTGGTGTAGGGGTTAAGAGTGGCGGACTTGAATCTGGAGAACCAGGTTTGATTCCACACGAAGCTAGCTGGGTGACAGTGGGTCAGTCACAGTTCTCTCAGAGCTCTCTCAGCCCCACCTACCTCACAGGGTGTTTGTTGGGGGAGAGGAAGGGGACTGTAAGCTGCTCTGAGACTCCCAAGTGAAGGGCGGGGTATAAATCCAACTCTTCATCTTCCTATCTCAGATCCACAGCTGTACTGTGTGAGACTAATTAATAGGCTTGGATAGACGACCTTGCCTAATATCTGCTAGCGTGGGAGGTGAACAGCACCTGCAGTAAATCCAGGAACTGTGTAGAACAGTGGAGTTAATTCATGGAACTGCATAGCTTCATCTGGAACAGACTAGAAGATTCCTGTAAGATGGTCTCTGTCTTGACAAGGGGGTAGGATCAGTGGGGAGATTCCTCCTTCACGGTCTCTCTGTAGGCACACCCCTGGGGCCTTGCGCATGTGTAGAGCAAATTCCAGAACATTCTAAAACTAAATAAAGCTGGACCTGCTCAGCTCAAGGAAAGGGGTGTTACCATGCCTGCCCAGAACGAAGGGACTGCTTATTCCTACCTGGTTCTCCTTTGCCGAAAAACTGCATAGTTGCCTGGAACAACCTCTGCAGACACTATGATTTACCGTTCGGCTTTCGTTCTCGGTTTTCCTCATCCTCCACAAGGCAGGCTGTGCGCCTGTGACACACAGCAATCCAGCTTCCAAAACGAGCCTTGGGTGCCTTGTCTGCAGTTTACCAAGCAAGCAGGCTGGAACTGTTTCTGCACCTCAGAATAATGCTCTGGGAAGGAGCTCGAGCTGTCTCTCTACCTGCTTTAATGGCCAAGGTCCCACCCCGTCCCACACACACCCCTTTGGATTGCACAGAGCTAGTTAGAGCAGCAGCAGCAGCAGCACTGACAGGCCGACTGAGCATCACCTACGATGAGAGGAATGACTAGGATTTACTGAGCACAGGAAAACGGGGTGCGAATAAACGGACATTCAGGCTCGAGCCCGATTTCCTAGCAGAAGAATAAAATCCACTTTGTTGCGGTGCTAGGGAAATGGGGGGGGGGGCTGACACTTGGGGGTTTCTCAGTGTCCCCACCCCAGGATGGGCATGGCGTTTAGTTGCTCACGAATCAGGTGGTTCACTTTTGAGTTGGTGCCATCAGGGTGGGAGGTTCCAGCACTGTGTGGCGTTGCCATGTCAACCGCTAAAGGGTATGAGCAAAGACAACCTGGTGGAGCCACACCCTGCGCCCCCCACCCCAACAAAAGACAGGCACAGGTTTGTGTCGTCCTCCTTTGATCATGAAGTTTACAGACCAAGTGCTGGGTGTGTGTGCACGCCATGCTAGCCCGTGAAGGCAATCCGGGGAGCATCCATTGCAGAGGGGATTTGCAACTGGGTCTCCTGCATGCAGGAATTCCCCAGCAGCTATGAAAAGGCCTATTTAAAGTACCACTGAGTTAACCAAGTGGTACCGTAGCGTATGCTAAGTGTTCCCAATGTGGTGTCCAAAGGCAGCATGCCGCCCCTCATGACCTTTCCTGGCGCCCATTAAGTGTTTTTAGAAAGTGAGTGGGGCTTTCGTCATGCAAAGCTGATGGGCCGTTGGAGATTTGATTGGCTGTGGAGATTTTTGAAAATCGTTGCTTTGGTGGCGGCTGCCACCACAGCACCGAATCTTCTCTCGGTTACTGAAGCTAAGCTGTGGCAGCCATTTTGGAGGGGGCTGGCTCTGTCCCCGGTGGCAGCCATTTTGTGGCTGTGCCCACTGTGTCAGAATCCCAAAGATGCCCACAGACTCAAAAAGGTTGGGGACCCCTGGTATACACCCCCCCCCCATTTCATACCCCCATAACATCTGTGGGGGGCTTTTTTGTTGTTGTTTTTGTATTTTTCATGTGTGTGTGTTAGATATGAGACGGACAGCAGGTGAACAGTGATTAACAGCTTTATTGAACACGAAATCAGAAGAACCAGAACGAGACAAATCAATGGAGCAACAGGCTCCTTTTTAAACTGTCCGGGCTTGGCAAGCCACGCCCACATGTCAGCTAAGGTCCAATCACATACTGTACATAAAGGCCAATCATTTATCTTCCCTCCAGAACTTCCTTTGTTCTGATAGGTCTATTTACAATACCTTTCAGGATTTCAAGCTCAGTACATTAATTTCATTACATTACATTACATACATAACAGTGTGTGTATGCACCTGGAAGTCATGGTGACCTCTGGTGACTGGCCCCTACTAGGCCCCTGCTATTGAGAGACGTGGCTGAATAAAGCCTGCCCCCACCTCCCACCTCCGGTATTCCAGGGATGTCTCCCATCCAAGTACTTGCCAGAGTTAACCCTGCTTAGCTTCCAAGGAATTATGAGATCAGGCTTGCCTGAGCTATCCAGGTCAGGGCCTCTAACATCTGCTTTTAGAGGGCTGCAGCACTGTTGATTGAGGCTTCCAGCCAGTTCTCTTCACTCTGTACAAGCAGAGGAAATGGGATGTGTTTGTTTGTTTTAAATGGCGTTTGTGTGAATGGGGGGTTGACGGTACATAACCCTGTGAAGTCCTATTGATGGCAGCTGCTTTGAAAAAGGCATTGCTACTGGCCAGGGCTTTTTTTGTAGAAAAAGCCCAGCAGGAACTCATTAGCATAATAGGCCACACCCAACAGCACAGCCCATTAGCATATTAGGCCACACCCCTGACAGCACAGCTCATTAGCACATTAGGCCACACCCCATGTTACCAGAAGTGTGGTCATCCAGCCACACCCACCTTTTGCTTGTTATTCTGTTGACCTTGTTTGTTGTCAAAACCCAGGGCCTTTTTTGTAGCAGGAACTCCTTTGCATGTTAGGCCACACACCCCTAATGTAGCCAATCCTAATGAGTTCCTGCTGTTGGGTGTGGCCTATTATGCTAATGAGTTCCTGCTGGGTGTGGCCAACTCAGGAGCCAGCCGGAACTCCGTTCCTGTGCGTTCCTGCCCAAAAATAGCCCTGCCCTAAGCTGGGTTTCTCAGACCTCTGGGCCTGTAGACAGTGCAGCTCTCAAGGCATCCACCCGTTACCTCCCTGCCCCCTGTCCTCTGAAATTCTATCTGCCTGTGAAACGGCACATTTGTTATCTGCTTTCCCTCTTCTGTGACCTTCAATAAAAGTTTGCAGTGCACACAGCTCTTTCTCTGTTGCAGTGATTCCCAGCCTTTTTATGGGGACCCACAAGTCCAAATATACTTGGCACGGTGACCCAGCCAGGCCTAGCCCAAGGGGGTATTTTGGTGCCCATCTTAGTTCAGCATTCCCTTATCCGCAGTGGCTAACCAGATGTTTTTGAGAAGCCAACAAACATCACACAAAGGGTGCAGCTTCCCCCACTATGGACCCCAAGCAATCAGCATTCCAACATTCACGGCCTTAGTGTATGGAGGTTACATGCCAACCTTTGACTGCCCTCTTCTTCTCCATGACTCCCTCTAAACCCCCCTAAGATTCCAAGAAACTCACTCCAGAAAAAGAGATTGGATTTATACCCCGCCCTTCACTTGGAGTCTCAGAGCAGTTTACAATCTCCTTTCCCCTCCCCACAACAAACATCCTGTGAGGTAGGTGGGGCTGAGAGAGCTCTTTTGAGGACTGCCCTTGAGAGAACAGCTCTGAAAGAACTTGTAACTGACCCAAGGTCACACCAGCAGCCGCATGTGGAGGAGTAGGAAATCAAACCCAGTTCTCTCATATTAGTCTGCACTCTTAATCACTATACCAAAGTGGCTCTAGTAACCATCATGATACATTGTACTTGATCAACATGCATATGTAGTGAAGAAAAAATATGAACTAATGGAGGACATGGAAGATACCATTTCTGTAATGTATTTTTTTTTTCATAATTTTGGATTTCCCATCAAGTTTACATACACTCAGATCTTGGTTTCCAAAATGCAAAAGAGAGCCATGGAAAGGGCAGGGGTGGCCATTAGGAAGGGCTGGCCCAGGGCTATTTTTGGGCAGGAACGCACAGGAACGGAGTTCTGGCTGGCTCCCAAGTTGGCCACGCCCAGCAGGAACTCATTAGCATAATAGGCCACACCCAACAGCAGAAACTCATTAGGATTGGCTACATTAGGGGTGTGTGGCCTAACATGCAAAGGAGTTCCTGCTACAAAAAGAGCCCTGTTTGACAACAAACAAGGTAAACAGAATAAGAAGCAAGAGGTGGGTGTGACTGGATGACCACACTTCTGGTAACATGGGGGTGGGGCCTAATATGTTAATATGCTGTGCTGTCAGGGGTGTGGCCTAATAGGTTAATGAGTTCCTGCTGTTGGGTGTGGCCTATTATGCTAATGAGTTCCTGCTGGGCTTTATCTACAAAAAAAGCCCTGGGCTGGCCCATGACCCACTTTCAGAGGCTTGGCGAACCACTTTTGGGTCCAGACACACCAGTTGGGAAACACTGCTCTATTGGAAGCACTGCTGTTTCATTTCCCAGCGAATCTGGTTCTGCTTGGCTTTTCT